GGTCGATTGAGAAGATTAATCCAAATGCTTATCGTCTGCGGCTTCCTTCCCATATTCGCACACATGACGTTTTTAACGTCAAGCATCTAGTTCCCTTTGCGGGGGACAACTCGGAGGAAGACGAGACCCATTCGGATTCGAGGCCGAATCCTTCCCAACCGGGGGAAGATGATGAAGACGAGACCGCTCTAGCCTTTCTCGACAAATTCGACCGTCTACGCATCTAGATTATTCTACATATTATATTTCCTATTATTATTTAGTAAGAGATATTTTATTTCCTTAGGAGTGTTTTATTATTTAGGAATAAAAAAGATAATTATCTTGTTGCACAAGATAATTAGAATTAGGATTCTTATTTCCTATTATTATTTAGTAAGAGATATTTTATTTCCTTAGGAGTATTTTATTATTTAGGAATAAATAAGATAATTATCTTGTTGCACAAGATAATTAGGATTAGGATTCTCTTTCATAGGACTATATATTGTCCCTCTCTTATGAAGTTTGATGAATGAACATTGAATAAAATTAAGAACTCTTGAGTTTTCTCTTATATTCCTTTCGTCTACCGTTGCTGCATCAGTAATTAGGGGGACAACACATCCATTGATTTTTTTAGTCCATAAATCTAGGGAAAAAAAATAGGTTGCAGCCAGGGAGAAAAATGAACAGAGAAGCATTTCTAGAGATTTAGCGATGAGGGACTTAGCGGATGGCGTAGATCTGGGCAGTGGGCTCGCCGCCCTTGACGCCTATGTTCACGTCGATGGAGGAAACACAATGGTCTTCATCCGACCGCGGCCGCGCTAGAAGTTGGTGATCGCGACTGCCATTTTTTTACGCCCAAAGCGACGGATTCGGTAGGTGTCGCCGTGACTGCGGGTGCCATTTTTCTCCTATGGCCGACGAAAGTAAATCCCTTATTTGGGAAGGATGATGATATTTCTTCTCGAGCGAACGAAATATTCATGATATAATCACGGGTTCTGGAGATATTTGTACAGATTATCATTGGTATGTGTTGGAATTTGCTTACTTATTTTGATTATCGAGAGAAAAAGTTATGAGAAATTGTTCATTTAGGTTGTTACTGCATCCGTCTAGGGTTTATTGAAGGGACTGAATTAGTGGAAAATTGTGGATAGTTGAAATTAGAAATATGAGGATGTTCCCTTAGTAGTGTTTATGTAGTTTGGATTGGTGTGTTCTTGGAATGTAGAGCTCTTTACCTTCTGTTATGAGTTGTTCATATCTCTCTATGCTTCTACTTGTTCATTTGTCTACACCCTTCATTCTGCAATGGCATTTATCCACTCAATACGACAAAACTATTAATAAAAAAGTACTAAAAAATAACTTACAAACCCATTAGAAGAGAGATTGTATGAGTACTGAACCTAATTCAACTATTTAAATACTCATAGTAAGTAGTGAACCGTATTAATCACTCATCTGTTTTCTGCCATCATTATAAATTGGTGAGATTCTACGGTCTCGTTATGGAATTATTTCGCCGGAGTTTGTAACCGTTAAATCAATTATCCACGACGATTAATGGTTGGTTCCGTAACGAGACTGTAGCATTTCCCTATAAAGTGATACATTGATCCCCGTGATTAGATGAATCCAGAATATCCCAAATTAGTTAACCGACACTCTTAAATAATTGATCTTGATTAAGACAACTTATAAGAATAATTACATGATAGCATTTGAACATATTCTATTAAAAATTTATTATCTGTTTATTTTTTAGATAATTACTATTTATATGTATATTAGTTTTTCACACACAAGTGAAAATTCATAATTTTCTTTATACATGAAAAACATTTCACAATGACATTTAACTGTAGATTCTTTAAGACTGCAATTGGAGCTTGGAGCATGTGAGCCAATAAGTAAATAATAGCTACACAGTTAAGGCCCATCTAATAATATCCTTCAAAACTCTTTGCTTCTGACTTTGCAAGCCATTAATAGGCCCACTATTATTATCCATGATAGAGCCCGTAGTTTTTAGTGTGGTCCAGTGGGCTAGACAGGTCCGTTTTTGGCGTGTTTGACCTGTCATATGAGGAGCCTGCTCAAGTTTCAACACAACTGAGCTAAATTTTACAAATTTAATGCTAATGTTTTGCTGAGATAACGGTTTGATAATTATATATTTTTTGAACCCATATAAATATACAAAACAATGTAATTAAATGTGTGATATTTTATAGAATAAATATCCACTCCTATATATTAAAAGCAGAATGTCGACTTCTTGTATTTCGTAATCATATGCGTCGAATTTTGGGTCAATTTATGACAATCCATATAGATGTAGATTTTAACCATACCTATTTGACTTTAAAATTATAAAACACTTGACTAACTTAATTAAATTATAATTCTATTTAAAAGTTAATAAATTTTTATATTTATTAATATATTATATATATATAGTGTATCAAATTAATCATTTTTTACGACCAAGCTTTGTTTTGATATAAATAATTATTTTTACTATAAAATTAAATAAATTATTAATATTTAATACTAATTAAAAATAATAAAACTATATTTCAATTAGAAGGTTTATAAATCATTTACATATGAATTATAAAATTATTATGTACAAATAATAATATAGAATTTTAAAACTACGAGAAATGTAAATAAAAAAATACCCCTCTATTACAGTTTTAATAATCTGATTTAAGAAAAAACGAGAGAGAGAAAGAGAGCAGAAGAGAGAGAGAAATGAGGTGGAGGGTAATTTTGACTTTTGGGGGGCGGTAATAATCGAAAAGGGGGCGGTGTTTAGCGTTTCACTTTTATAATTAACCGTTGGAGCTGAGTCAACAAACAAATAAGAATTTTATTTGCAGAATTAATAGGTGTAGCCACCATCAATCAACAATCATTTTTTTTTTTTTACTTATTATTAAAAGAATTTTATTTACA